CAGCATTTTATGAAAACCAAACCACTTATTTCAACTCTTTAACAAGATCTCAGAACCCTTTTATTAACAGGCTCTCAGGCTGTACATCTACTGCAGGAGCAGCTGATCTGACACATCAGTAGACTGAAGTTCACTTCTGCTGAGGCATTTTAAATTTAAGGTATGATCCTCAGCTCTTTTTAAAGTCTCCTGATTTCAGTTTGGCTTTGATAGAGGGATACGCATGTCAAAAATCTGAAAGAGTTCAAATATGCTCCCATGAGATCTTTTTTCCACTTCACCATCACTTGCCACTCATCAGCTTTTGCTGCATGTAAATTAGCTATCACTCTGACATTATACAATAAATTCAGTGAATTCAGTTTCCCCTTACCTGCCCATCAGGGAGAGCAGAATGATATGAACCTTCCCTCTTGTTTGTTTACTTGAATTCTTATTTTTACATAAAAACTGTGAGAAGCAAATACAAATTGTAAGGATTTCCTCAACAATGGCTTCCTTCAGCAAATGTGCAGACATAAAAAGGATTCATTAAACACCCAGGTGGCCAGATAACACATAAAGTAGAAAGGGTAGATTTAAACAGAGTTCAAAAACTTAATAGAGAGAACTCCTGACGGGTGTTTTTTTTGAAATTTCAGCTGCCCTGCACTTCAGGACTTCAGAATTCAGGACTGTCTGAATTCTAACCAGTCTCAAACATACCCAACATTTTCTCCTTTCATGGCATTCTCAGCAATTTGCAGAAAACCAGTTCAGTAATGAAGGAGGCTGAAAAAAAGTTGTTAGGATCTTCCATTTCCTAGCACGTCAAGAGAATCAAAGCTCAGATTCTTGCTAGAAACAGAAAGAAGGCCCTCTTCAAATTAGAGGTCCGAGAGCCCATTACTAGCTCAGGTAACTGTCAGACTAACATGAAGAGCCTACTGTCTTGAAGTCATTTAACATCTGTACATTTCTTCTCTCAGACTTTTGGAGAACAGGACTTGAATCCAAAGAGAGCGAGCTGCTGGGACCTCACCCGCTCCGAGCTGAAATACCACTGGTTTTTATTTAAAGCTGTAATCTTCTTCAGTGAATTTCCTATCCCCAAACAGAAAACTCTGTCCAGGGGCAATTTCCATTTCTCTTGGTCACGCTGAAAGGTTCCTACTCTCTGACTGTTCGTCCTGACAGCATGCAGTAAAGTACAGTACTGTGCGAGTAATGGTGATACCTATTAACAAGTTCATTTGTACCACCAAGTCACCAGTTAATTTATCCTCTGGAAAAAATTTCCTTGGTTTTAGGCTTTTTGACACATAAGTACAAACACCACACAATCATACATCACGTTGGTACTCCATTCACCTCCAGGGCTCCTTCTTCTCCTTGGAGTCTGGATGATATCTTCATTTCCAAGCTGGTTCTGTACAATGAACTGGTTAACTGATACATGCCAATTTACCAGCGATATATTCAGTGCCTTATAAGAGCCCAATAGAGCTTATACAGAAAATGACACTTGGAGCTCATCCTAGCTTTACAGATAACCATCCTCTGGAAGAAAATGAATTAAAAGAGCTTTGAAAACTGGAGTAACAACTGTATTTTCCTGGAATGATCCTTTGGTCCTCTGTCACAACTACTGTTTTTCATCAGTTCTCCTTAAGATTGAAAGGTGGGGGTCTTAACAGTTTGCCAATGTGGAGTAACAAAGTCATTTCTAGTCAGATGAATTCTCAAAAATCTTTGTCATTGGAAAAAAAAAACTGATTATAAAATGGCATAAATGGATTAACTCTGGACATGAGAAAAATCTTAGTTGTGGCAATGACCTGGTCACCCAACTCTTGCTATGGATAAAGGCAGACAACTCAAAACCAGGGGCTTACTTGGCTAACAGGAAGACCATACTGATAGTGACAGTAAGGAAGTTGAACTGGGGCAGGGGGTAGAAGGAAATTTTGCATCAACAAAATAGTAACAGCTCCTTATTCAGGGTTTGCTGCCGTTGAATTTGCACTATTGTTTCATCTGGAATTCATAATGACTTCCTAAAAACACATCTAAACTCTGGGGACAAGACCTTCTGCCTTCAAATCCCTTCTGGACCACACAAGTGTTTAGAAGGCTCCCATGACTTCTCTGATCTTGGCTTAGGATAGTGAATTTTTGGTGAAGAGTAATAAACTTCCTTCAAAAAGCTGTGTGAGAAAATGCCCTTTTAGGATCGGGATAGGTGTCCAGCGAGATCTCCCATATGTGTCTTGCCCTGCAAGGAAGCAGACTATCAAATGCTACTACAAAATTAGTGTTTCATTTCTGTGCAAGTGTTCCATTTTGGCAATCTCTGCAAGAAGAGGGGCCAAATGCTTTCTGATTCTCTTGAATTAAATGGGATAGCTGTCCCACGTGCCTCATATCTGCTCCAAACTGGCTTCAAGTGACTGTTGTTTATCACAGGAGGAATACAAGGCCAAGAACAGAGCTGCTGCATCCATGGAGGTCACTCCTGGATAGTTCTTTTAGTCAATGTAAGACCATTAACAGGGCTGGGTAAGTACGTACCTACTAACAGAAGTGGTCATTACACTCGAACATGGGAGGTGAATGGTGTTATCAAATCTCACACTCTAGGGTGTAAAGTAATAATCTGCGAGTGCCATGATGAAATGGTGACAAAATGCTCACCAGAAACAGAGGTGTCACATCACTTTGTTGACAGCAACGGGTGGGAGCGACTACAAACAACGTATGAGAGCTAACAATCCTTTTTAGCAAGCACCCTGGTTCAAAGAGAGCAGCACTGCAGGAATAAGACCACACGGGGTTTTAATCTGGCAACTGATCTGACGGAGAGGAGAACAGACATGCTGGATAAAGTAGAATTACAGTTTCTCTGTACCATTCAGTCACAAACCAAATACCAAGATGTGCTCCCTCCACAGCCTATTTCACTGAAGAATCCTGATTGAGGGGAATTTAAATATTAATTTCTAAAGGAATGGCATGAAACTAGAGGCTTTGGTATTGAACAAGAAAAGGAGAGAGCATAACTGATTTCCTTTTTCTCTGTGGGCACTGACAACATCGGCAAGAAGATGGACAATCCACAAACCCTAAACATCTGGGCCAGTCGTTACCAGTTTCATTAACACAATCACATGCCAGAAAGTCTTTAGGAACACTAGAAAAGAATACCCACGCTTACTCAGATATGTGGAGTGGCAGTGTGCTGTTTCCATGAAGGGTAACAAAATGCCTAGGAACAGAGACATTAAATCTGTAATAGGGGGATGAGGATTTCTATCAGGAATAGTATTTGACTCACAGCAAAGAGAGAGCTCCTCATCTGCGAGATAACCACACCTTTGCATGTGTGACCTGGGTGAGACCTTTGGCCCTCCTACCAGTGACAGTTTGTCATTTCTCTGGGCATTGGCACACAACGCCAGATCACCTAATTAGCTGCAGAAAATAAAAATAAAGGAAAAGTGAAAGTTCAAGGACTAAATGACGACGTAATTCAGCATAAAGGAACCCTGTGCCACCAAGTGTTGCCGATGAACACCGGCAAGTTCAGTTACAACCGCTTAATGCTATTTGTTTATGACCTAGAATGTCAGATTTTCATCCCAAGGTGTAAAAGCCTCCCTTCTTGATCCCATTCTATCGGGGAAGAATAAAACAAACACCCACTTGCAAAGTACTGATGCATATGAAGTGGAAAGGTGCGGAAAACATTCTTATCCCTTCCTGGTCTAGGAGAAAGACAGTTGTGCCACAAAAATCAGCAGTAGATAAACCAGTGAGACCTCCCCAGAAAAGAGGAGGGAATGGGAAGTGTCACATCCCGTTCTTCTGAGAGCCCAGCAGAGCTACAAGGCACTTTTTATGCAGGGCAGACAGTAAATCTATCATCCATAGCTGCGTTTGTCAGATTCTATGAGGACTGGCACTTCCACCATCTATTAAAGCCAGGACCAGAGCTCCTGCAGCGCGCTCATCTTTTCATATTGTTTCTTCTTGCAATCTTCGACAGTAGCAGCGTTTTTCTTATTGCGTAACTGATTTAAAGAGTCTGAGGGGAAGACAAATCAGTAACAGATCCTGGCTGTGTCTTTGCGATCTCACTTTCATTTTCCTAACGGCTCTATTGTAATTAGATTTGCAAAACCAGCAAAAGGTCTAATTTTGAATGGCAACAGCTGTTGACATCAAGATTACATTGAATAATTTACTGGTTTAATTTTAGCTGCTAAACAATAAAAGCCTCTTGTTGAAGATTAATTCAGTGGCTGAAGTTCTCTCTTTTCCCCGCTGGTTGCCTGTCCATTTCTGTGTGTGCTAGACATCACCAACCGTTTCATCAAAAGATATTTATAATGTATGTTGCCCATGCAAAGCAATAGTTGTGTATGCCACCACTACTGTTTTGCTGTGAAGATTCTTAATTCTGGCTCGGATACATTGGCTGTGTATTTCAAAATGCAGCAAGTGATTTTGGGCACTTACACAGGACTTAAATGGATGCTCAGACTGAGACTCCTGTACAGAGTCTGATTTCAGAGTCAGTTCTCATACGAAAAAGAAGGCAGCAATGCTTTCATCTCATGGCAGTGCTGCCGGGTTAGTTTGTCAATACCAAGGAGCAGAGATGACAGTTCTGTCAACAAGTAAATACTACAAATAAAGTCATTGTACAGGCCCACACTTCTGTAAGCATCAATGGCAGCATTTGCCACAAACCAGCAGTCGCTAGAAGGAAAGCAAAAAGCACTTCTGTGAAAAGTGGTCCTCTATGGTTTTCAAAAGGGGTGTAAGCTTTTTTTCCGATAAGCTGCTGGACATTCACGACTGGAACCTGAATGTCATAAAAGACCTGGAAAACAAAGGTTACATTACTGCTGCACACACTCTGCTTTCAGGAGTGGGACAAGTGCTTTACCAAGCCAAAGAAATCACGAAGCGCTATACACAATCGATAGGATGGCTTACGTGACAGAATTTGCACTTACCCTTGGGTGCAGTTTGGATGACACGGATGGCACTCACGGTCCTCATCGGCGTATTTGAAAATGAAGCTGTTGGCCCCCTGTAAGCCATCAGGACATTTTTCCACACAATTTGGACCATCTTTAAAATGGAAACACTTCGTGCAGTGGTCAGGTCCCTGGGGAGCCCAGAAGAAAGAAATGCAGGTCACTCAAGCTACTCTGTCTTTACCGGCCGCACTAGAATTGCGGGTCCTAGGACGACTGCATGTTTAGCAATAACTGTAGCAGCATTTCTTTCCCAACAAGCAAAGAGTCAGCTGTATGGTTCCAGTCTCTGTTAGAGCAGCACACACGTAAATCCTGGTGCTTCTGGCCGTAAACTTATTCTGTAGAGACTAAATCCCAACTTCTAAACAGGTTTCTCCATATTATAACACAAAGGACTTCATGCCCACCTGAGAAATTTCCTGCAACACTGTTCAATACTGAACCGCATTTGAAAAGCGACTCCGATGGCCTTTCAGTGGGATCCCCTACCTCTGCGCTCCAGAATTACTTTCCACGCTGTGTTCTCCCTACGGTATCTGGTCACAACAGCACTGAAGAACTACAGGGTCTACTTCTTCTTACTACATACACAGACTAGACGGTTGAGAACTATAAATTAAGGCTTCTGGACAACATAGAAGTAAAATTTTAAAGCTGTGATGATAAGCCAGTGTATAACCAATTCTGGCGTTCAAGCTGGGCACTGATCTAGGATTTCATGTCCACGAGCCCTGCTACAAAGCCAAATTCCCCTCATGAGCTGAACACTTGAAACATTAGCTTCTTGCTTTATGGTTGTGCTGCACAAAACACAGCACTGCAACAACAATTACGATGAGAATGATTGTCAGTGCAATGACTCAGGGATTTTTTCTCCATTCAGTAGGTAAGTTACAGAAATAAGGAAATAAATTACAAGTTAAGTTTTCTCAGTGATGAGGAGCCTGAAATACAACTCCTCATTGTCAGGATATCTGTGACTTTTAATCTTGGCAATGTACAAAGGACCAAAACAAGGAGGCAACTCAGAAGTTGTCACAAAAGAGCAATAATCTTTGCAAGAAGACTCACTGGCCATTATAAAGGTGACAGCTACACTTAACATTCATATAGGATGCAAGAGAAAAAATTCTGTGTCAAAACAACCTAAAAGGCAAGTAAGAAAACCAAAAACCAACCAACCAAACAACATCTTGATCAAGCTCACCGAGAAACTGAGACAAATTTTTTAAAAAATTTTCAAAAACAAAAAGGTGACTGAGGTTGTAGCAGAACAGGACAGAACCGAGTATAAAAAAAATGGAAACACTGATAAAAGAGGGCACTCAGGTCACAAATGAATGTCTTCTGTCATTTAAAAACTTAGCGCATCTGTACCACTAAGGCATTAACCAACTCAGGAAAGAAAAGGACATTGCTTTTTGAACCAGTTTCTTAAGGAGGCTGATCCAAGGAAGTTTATTCCCAGCACAATTTGACATGGGCAGAATTACTTTCCTGCATGCAGAACATGCATGCTTTCTGCTTTTGTTAACATTAATTTTCAACAGCTGCTCTAAATTCTATAAGCAGAAAATGCCTGTGTTTTAGCACACTTTAACAAGCTAGCCCATCACACATAAAATTTTGTTCTTACCGGCCCGTAGCATGTAATCATGTTCTCTTCCATCTTCTCACACTGAGGATCACACTCCACGCAGACGGAACCATTTGCAAATTCTCGAAATTCCCTAAGGAAATATTTTGCAGACAGATTAGGAGAAAACAAAAGCAAGACTGCAAACGAAATGAAATGGCTGACTCTTGATGTGAGGTCAGCCGACTGTGCCAGCTGAGACCACTTCTGCTCACCACACTGCTGCTTTACACCAGCTGGCACCAGGGCTCCATCAGCAACCTCATCCACGGGCAGGTGTGCAGCAGGCATTTCGTTTACCGTATAAAGCTAGAGTGCTAGAGTGTTTTTTCTCTTCTTTCCTTAAGAAATAAGGACCTAATTAACAGGACAAAGCAGCTCATTTCTTTATTTTTATCTATGGAATTGTCCCTCGTGGCTCAGATGCAGGAAGCCACTTGTTACATGTGAGGCATCGCAGATAGGAAAGGATTAGAAAGAGCATTGATCTTTTACAAGTCTCTGTACACACTCTTGTTTTAAAGTCCATTCTCCAAAAGACTCATAACTTTTTCATCAACGATTCTAGACCGAGGTCTAAATCTATAAAATGTCAAAACAAATAATTTTGCTCAATTATTTCATGTAACAACAAGAAACTATCACTCAAGTGATTTTTTTTTTCATTAACCACTTATATGTGAGGAAAAAGCCAGCAATAGGAGGTGGGATTCCTTCCTTCAAACACCAGATGTCTCATTTCAGCTTCCAGTTGCCCCTCACAGAAAAACCTCCAGCACCTTCTCAACACAATTCATTCCACCTTCTTCTAGGCTGAGATGGATTAACACCTAAACAGGGCATTTCTCTCCCAGTAACCACAGAGAGAGCCTAGCTCAGACTGGACACCCAAGCTTTGCAGACAGATCCCATCTTGTTGCATGAATCAGTTAAACTATTTGCATTAAACAGTTACAGGAACGCTGCACACTCATGTCAGTGGGCTCTAGTAATATTCAGGTAGGCATCTGTGCTTAGTTTATGTTCTCCCTCTGCTTCTCTACAGCCATTAGGATCTATTGCAACAATACAGCTGAGGAAAACCTCACTTGACCACAGCGAGTGAGCTCACCCTTCTCTGGCTTTGGAGACAGAGCTTTCCTGGTGAGGAATAAAAGCAAAGTCAAATGCATCTGGGGCCTACCCTGAAGTAACGTTGTTGCCTTGCAAGACGATGCAGAGGTCTCAAACAAACAAATGAAAAACTCCCCGAGCCCAGGTCACAAACCACTTTGCGTATTTAGAGAACTGAGCCTGTGGAAAGTGTAAACACCGTTCACTCATCAATACAGAGCAGAACATCCTTTAGGTCACGAGAGCCTGCTCGTGATCTTACTGCAATAGGCTTCATGGAGACACCAGCCACCAAATGTGGTCCAAGATATTCTGCTACATGTGAGAACCCTACTGTGGTCCGTAACTCTTCTGATTTCTTATTTCTTTTTAATTGGGGGAGGGCCAGGGAGGAGGCAGCATTTTAAGCTTATAAAACTGTACTCTGACAAGATTTTTTTTTGCATGCATTGTCCATATAGCAGAGTTTAGAATATTGTCACACATATATGGGAGTTCATTCAATGCTCTTTCCGTAACAGTTACATGAGTTGGCATCCAAGGCAAGAAAAGAAAGAAACCACACAGTGATCCATTGTATGTATGTGTGCCTGTAAGAAATGTGGGGAAGAGCCGTTCACCAGGGCATGTAGCAATAGGACAAGGGGTAATGGTTTTAAACTAGGAAAGGGTAGATGTAGGTTGGATATTAGGTAAAAGTTCTTCCATATGAGGTGGTTGATCAGTGGCACAGGTTGCCCAGTGAGGTGGTGGAGGCCCCATCCCTGGAGATATTCAAGGTCAGGCTTGATGGGGCTGTGAGCAACCTGATCTGGTGACATTGGCCTTGCTCACTGCAGGGGTTGGACTGGGTGAGCTTCAAAGGTCCCTTCCAACCCAACACATTCTATGATTCTATTCTACTTTCTATTAGGAGTTTGAGCTGAAAAGAAAATCAAAATAATTTAGGTTTTTATTTATTTTGACTTTAGGAGATGTGTCAGGGACCTTGCTATACTGTTATATGGGAAGTGAAATTCCACCCGCTTCCCTCCACAGCCTAACTCTGAACTTCTGCTGCTGCAGCTACTATTAGCACTTCAGCGTTATTTTTCTGTCATAAGCCAGACTCGGCCACCTTGGCTGCACCACATGTAGGCATTCCCTCACCCATTCTTCAGAAAAGATGATGCATGTGCATGAGAGGGAGAAGAACTCGTGGTGGTTTTGTAATTTATATTTGTATGTACACACACATAATTTATTATGGAAAAAAAAAAAAAGAGTGCATTTTCCTACCTTTGAGTCCTTATTCTCTATCACATCCCTAAATCTAACTAATCTGAAAGAACATGAATAGGGATGTTAATGTTCACGGAGGGCTAGATCGTGGGTTTTTTAGTCTTTATCTAAATCAAATTGTTCCCATCATGAGAAATGCAAAAGGTGGAACAAACTTCTGATGTTGCATGAGAATTTTAGCCAGCAGAATGCTAGGTAAAGCCTCCTACACAAGTGCAGATTTGAAGTATTTAAAACTTATCCCACAATATGTTTCACTCCAAATCAGTAACATTGGCAATGGAACCAGATATTGATTAATGTAAAAGGAAAATAACTTAACTCATGGAAATCCTGAACAATGCTGTCAGAATCTTTAAGGAAAGGTGCAAGGGCAATATCTCACCCATCGTAGAGGTTGCAAGAGTCTATGCAGGTCCTTCCCCGGATGAAGCGCTTGCAGGAGAGACACTGGTCTGGCCCTGGTCCCCAGCAGCCATCGCTTGAGCATAACTCATTACACACCATTCCATCGGCAGCTGCAGGGAGAGAGATGACGATCATTAATGTACATAACCCTCTGAAATCCAGAGGAAAACATTTCATTCACCATTCTGCCACACTCAGAAAAGTAAACGGAATGTTCTGATTTTCTAGAAATGGAATAGAGAAAAACCAGAAAATTACCATCAAATCACTGCAGAAACACACTGTGCACTCACAGTTTGAACACTATTCACACTTCTGGTCTGTTCCTTCCAGAAAGGATATAATAGAGTGAGAAAAAGATTTAAGAGTGCTGCAAGGAGGATCAAAACTAAAGAAGAGCTTCTATAC